ATAACGTCCTTTTTTCTGGGTAAGCACTCATTAGGCCAAAGAGTGGAAGCAAATGATAATGTTTATGATAAATTTCGGCTTGTGTGTTCAGTCATAAAACCAAACACCCTTCACAACTATTAACTTAGATTTTATGTGAAAAAATAACAGGGAAATGTTACAAACCTTAGCTGTCTGACACTAGAAATTTAGCATATGCAGTTGTTCTCACGCATCTTTTAGGTCTTGTAATCCAATTTTATCTTACCTAATATTACAAATAGTATGCACTATAAGTAAGCTTTTTAAAACGTTGCATGTATTTATATCTTTTCTGAGTAATTTTCTTGTTAATGTCTTCTGAAAAGTGCTTGTCACTTGAAGTGTAAACTTGGACCTTGGCAAATTCAGAATTCTATAGTCAGATTGTGATATTTATAGCTTTTAGGCCTAATGGTGCCTCTTAGGTTGGCATTCATTCTTCACTAGCCTTCCTCCCTCCTCTCACAGGACCCATTTTTAGTTCACATGCCTGCAGCGTTTCAACAGCACTGTTCTGCTCTAATGCTCACGGTGGCCGGTGCACTGTGCACAGGTGGGCACCGAGGCACGCTGTCGCCGACATTCCTGGATATTATACATTAGTCCCCTGGATGGTGGAGGTAAAAACACTGTCTTGTCTTGGTTTAAGACGAATCTGGGAGCTATAACAATTGCATTGAAAGCATTAGATTAGATTCTACACATTGCTTCCTGCCACACTGAAAGATTCAAGTTTTGAAAATATTAATGTCCTGGTATATAACTGTGACTTTATTTTAAAAAAAAAGCACACCTTCTATTCTGCTTAAAATGTGTGACAGATTGCTAGTTAAAGCATTAGCAGCTGAGATAATCCATGTATTAATTTTCTCATTAACCCTGGATACTTATTTTTATTTCTCATCATTAACTTTCTCTCAATAGTAGTAGCACACTCTCCAGTCCTGTAGAGGTAGAATAGTTGAGTGTTTTGAGGTGCACGGTGTGCTGAAACTGGCCCCCAGCGGCTTGGGGCCTGGGTGGAATGTACCCATTTCTTTCAAACCCCATGTTCAGTGATCTTACAACAGCAGCTTAAAATTGGCCACACCATAAAAGCAGGCAAACATCTCAATTCACAGCTTTCTTCTTACTTACTTCGTTGTTTTGAAAACCAATCATTAATATTTACCAGCATCCATGCAACAACATAACAAATACTTAAAATTTCAGCGGTGACTTATATAACTTACATAAAGCAAGATGTTACACTCTTATATAGAAATTGTCCCATAAAATGACAATAGTTCAAGCAGAAGCCAACCATTAGTGTCCTATAAATAACTGTGTGACATTCTGCAATGAATTCAAAACTGTCCCTTCCAAGTACAGTAATACCAACACTGATGTTAAAGTCCATTATTGTCAGCCAAATTCTATTAAGTCAAGAAGAGTGAATCAATGAGGGCATTATTTATTATCATTACTTAGCCCTTTTAATTAGCTTATCCTGCCTAGGACATTAACTGAGACTTTTAAAGAGCTGCTACACCTTTGTTGTAAAGCCTGGTTGAAATTTTATGTGAGTGTATTATTGGGTGTGTACTTTATTATCCAGCAGCTAGAACAAAAGATAGGAACAAAATGCTAAATACCTGGTACAAATTAGTTGGAGAAACATAAACAAGTGAAACCAGCACACTGTAAAAGGGTCCCACTAACAACCCCAAATGCTGTAATTCCCCTCACAGTCCCTCTTCCTGATATGACCTGACCCCGGTCATGTTGTTTCTGCCCCCTGAGAGCACACAGGTGACCTGGCTGGCTCCAGGGCAGGTGAAACCCCAACTCCTCAAACCCCGTGATGCCTCTGCCCTCAAATGGCATGTGTAGTTTTGTTTACCCAGATCTTGCAGGGCTGGAATGAGGAAGAACTGTGGGCTGGGCTTTCAGGTTGGCTGGCAATTGTTCAGTGTTCACATTTGAGAATAGCTGAACTTTCTCAAGCATCTTGTGTTTCGTAACATGAAACACCATGAAGCCCACCAGAATGAGGCAAATCCTGCTTCCATTTAGGAAGCTCACTCTCCCCTGTGGCTGTCCTGAGAGCAGCCCAGTCTCCCACGTTGGAAGTTAACCTCCGACACCTCGAGAATAAGAAACTGAGTTTCAGGATCCCATGTTATCACATTAAGAATAAATTGTCTAGTAAAATAGCAGGATACAAAATACATATTTAGAAATAAGTTGCATTTTTGCACACCAACAATGAGCTATCAGAAAGAGAAATTAAGAAAACAATGGCATAAAAAAGTACCTGGGAATAAATTTAAACCAAGGAGGTAAAAGATCTGTTCTAGGAAAATTATAATCATTGAAGAAAGAAACTAAAGAAGGTACAAATAAATGAGAGCATATACAGTCGTCCCTCGCTATATCACAGTTCACTTAATGCAGCTTTTTAAAACTCACGATACAGTGAAGCCGCAATAAGTGAACTGCGATATAGCGAGGGACGACTGTATACTTCACTGGTGAGTGCCCATGTAGAATTTTATATGTTGTTAAAATTATGTAGGTGTAAGACTGTAGAAAGTATTTAAGAGCATATGAAGTGTTAATAAGAGTGCAGGAAAGGTTTATAGGAGTGTGGGAAGGGTTTATAAAGCCTTAAAATATATATAAATAATAAAATAAATATAACATAGCTATTTCATGGATTTTCACCTATTTCGGGGGTCTCTGGAACATAACTCCCATGATAGGTGAGGAATCACTGTACCATACTCTTGGATAGAAATAATTAATATAGTTAAGATGTCCATACTACCCAAAGCAACCTATCGATTCAATAAAATCCCTATCAAAATGCCAATGGCTTTTTTCACAGAACTAGAACAAATCATTCAAAAATGTATATAGGGCCACAAAAGACCTCAATAGCCACAGCAATCTTGGAAAAGAACAAAGTTAGAAGAATCTTGCTACATGATATCAAACTATACTGTAAGGCCATAGTTATCACAACAGCATGGTACTGGCATAAAAATAGACACATAGATCAATGGAATAGCATAGCAAGCCCAGAAATAACCTGTGCCTTTAAGACCAATATATGACAAAAGAGGCAAGAACATACATACAGTGGGGGAAAGATAGTCTATTCAATAAATGACGTTGAAAAAAATTGAACAGGTCCATGCCAAAAAATAAAACTAGACCACCTTCTTACACCATACACAAGAATAAACTCAAAAGGGATTAAACACTTAAAGGTAGGACTAGAAACCATAGAGATTCTAGAAAAAAACATAAGCAATAAAACCTCAGACACTTCTTGTAGCAATATTTTTTCTAATATATCGCTTCAGGCAGGGAAAACAAAAGAAAAAAAATAAGTGGGACTACATCAGACTAAAAAGGTTTTGCACAGCAAAGGAATTTATCAACAAAAATGAAAAGACAACCTGCTGAATGGAAGAAGATAATTGTCAATGATACATGCAATAAGGGGTTAATATCCAAAAGGTATAAAGAACTCATACAACTCAACATCAAAAAGACAAACAATTCAGTTTAAAAATGGGCAGAGTACCTGAATAGACACTTCTCCAGTGAGGACATACAGGTGACCAATAGACATATAAAAAGATGCTTACTGTCACTAATTATCAGAGATGCAAGTTAAAACCACCATAACACATCACCTCACACCCATCAGAATGGCCATCAATAAATTGACCAACAACCAGTGCTGGTACAGTTATGGAGAAAAGGAAACCTGAGTGTGCTGTTGGTGGGAAAACAAGATTGGTACAGCCACTAGGGAAAACAGGATGGGGTTACCTCAAAAAATTAAAAATAGAACTACCTTATGACCCAGCAATTTTACTTCTGTGTATATCCCAAGAAACCCAACACACTAATCCAAAAAGATGCATGCATCCCAGGATTCATTGCGGAGTTATTTAAAATAGCTATAATATGGAAGCACCCCAAATGTCTATGAATAGACAAGGGAATAAAAAAATTGTAGTACATATATACAATGACATTACTTGGCCATAAAAAAATGAAATATTACCATTTGCAGCAACATGGATAGACCTAGAAGGTATTATTCTAAGTGAAATAAGTCAGACAGACAAAGACAAATACCATATGGTTTCACTTATACTATGTGGAATCCAAAGAACAAAATAAATGAACAAACAAAACAGAAACAGACTCATAGGTACAGAGAACAGACTGATGGTTGCCAGTTTGCAGGGGGTTTGGGAGGCTGGGTGAAAAGGCGAAGGGATTAATACATACAATTGGTAGTTATTGTACAAAATAGTCATGGGAACGTAAAGTACAGCACAGGACGTACAGGCAATGATGTCAGATGGGACACAGGTCTCAGGGGTGGGCATTTCCAAGGGTTATTTTTGCTGAGTGTTCAGAGGCAGCCCAGCACTTTGCAGGGGCAGTGCAAACGGGATGAGCTGACAGGAGCTCAGCTGGATTTGCCAACCATACACCCGATGGCCAAGCCCCCCTTCCAGGAGGCAGAGCTAAGAACACGAATCCCGTCTCCTTTATCTACTGCAAGTAAATAAAACTACTGTGCAATGACCAGGTCTCATTTTTTAATAGACAACCCAAGGGGAGAACCCACTGTGTTCTGTGACAATAGTATTGTAGTAACTCTGTGGGGTGCCAGGTGGGTCCTTGAAATATACAGGGGATCACTGCATAAAATCTATACTTACCTAGGTATGCTTTATGCCTGAAACTAATATAAAATAATATTGAATGTCAACTGTAATTAAGAAATAAAATTTAAAAAAAAGATCCTCGGAGACAAAAATAATTTTGTCAGCAGCAATAACAGAAACCAGGAAGAAGGAAACCAAAAATCAGATTTGAATTATTGATTTCTCTTGGTACTAATGGGAGTTAAAAATGCAACGTTTTCAGACTACAGTCTGAAGAAAGGGCTGAGATTAAAGGCAGAAAGTAAGTTTCAGAAGGTGAAGGAACCTCCCGGGAGTGTTTGATGTGCCAAGAAGCAAACACCAGGTCACAGCTCCTCCCTTCCCAGGAAAGGAAACCGAAACCAGTGCAGACTGGGCAGCAGAAGACTCAGAGACTAAGGGTTTCCTGCAGGCAGCTGTGCGGCCACTGCTCTCCTGTCCCTTGCCAGAGCGTCAAGATGGAGCTTAGCGATATCCCGGCCAGGTGTCTGGACAAGTTCATCGAAGACCACCTCCTGCCAGACACGCATTTCCGCAAGCAGGTTAAAGAAGCCATCAATGTCATCTGCAGCTTCCTGAAGGAGCGGTGTTTCCGAGGTGCCTCCCACCCTGTGCGGGTGTCCAAAGTTGTGAAGGGCGGCTCCTCGGGCAAGGGCACGACCCTCAGAGGCCGATCTGATGCTGATCTCGTGGTCTTCCTCAGCAATCTGGGAAGTTTTCAGGAGCAGTTTGATGGCCGAGCAGAGTTCATCCGGGAAATCAAAAAACAGCTGAAAGCCTGTCAAAGTGAGAGGGGAGTGCAATTTGAGATCCGGGATGGTGGATGGTGGAACCCCCGCTCGCTCAGCTTCGTGCTCAGGTCCTCCTGGGTCGAGGGGGTGGAGTTTGATGTATTGCCTGCCTTTGATGCCCTGGGTCAGGTGCCAAAAGGCTACGCACATGACTCCCTGGTCCCCGAATACTACAGACCTGATCCCCAAATCTACATCGAGCTCATCCAAGAGTGCAAAAAACTGGGGAAAGAGGGCGAGTTCTCCACCTGCTTCACGGAGCTGCAGCGAGCCTTCCTGAAGCAGCGGCCAACCAAGCTCAAGAGCCTCATCCGCCTGGTCAAGCACTGGTACCAAACGTGCAAGGAGAACCTAGGGAAGCCCCTGCCCCCGCAGTATGCCCTGGAGCTGCTCACGGTCTACGCTTGGGAGCAGGGAAACAAGGGAACTATATTCAGCACAGCTCAGGGATTTCGGACTGTCTTGGAATTAGTCATGAACTACCAGAAGCTTCTCATCTACTGGACAAAGTATTACAGCTTTGAAAATCCTGTTATTGGGCAATACCTGATGATGCAGCTCAAGAAACCCAGGCCCGTGATTCTGGACCCCGCTGACCCCACAGGAAACGTGGCTGGTGGAGACCCACGTAGCTGGCCGCGTCTGGCACAAGAGGCTAAAGCCTGGTTGAGTTACCAGTGCTTCAAGAATTGGGATGGGTCTCCAGTGAACCCCTGGTACATTCAACTTCCAGCAGAGAGTGAAGATGGCTGGACATGTGCCATACTCTGAACACCAGTGCATCTTAGGGGACAGGGCTCCAGAGTCACCTGGGCCAGCTTCCTCATTTCAAGGAGCCGAACCTTGATTCAAAGAGGACAGAGGACTGCCCCAAGCTAGCAGTGAGTAGGACAGACCTACAACCAAAATCCAGGTCTCCTGACCCTACCCTTCCCACTATTCTGTGCTTCCCTTCTTTCATAGATAGCATTTTCCTTCAGTATGCCCCCCCTCCACCTATTCTCAGACAATATTCTCTGAGACAATGAGAGAAATATAGATAAGACTGGGATCCCAGCCTTGACTTTCTTCTATGTACCTGCCAGGAGTGTTTTTGGTCCAATTTATTATCGCTTGCAATAAAAATAATAGCAAAAAAAAAGAGTAAATTGTCTGTCTTGAGAAAAAGAATCCATGTTTCGGAATGGGCAGAGAGGAGAGAGTTTTTCTCCCTCTGAAGAAACCATGAATTAGCCCTGGCCAGGTGGCTCAGTTGACTGGAGGGTCATCCATATACCAAAAGATTGTGGGTTCAATCCCAGTCAAGGTCAAGGCACATACCTAGGTTGTGGTTTTGATTCCCAGTCAGGGTGAGTAAGGGAGGTAATGAATCAATGTTTCTCTCTCTCTCATCCTCTCTCTCTCTGTCTCTCTCTTTTTCCCCCACATTCCTCTGTCTAAATAAAATTAATAAAAAACACATTTTCAGTGAGGATTAAAAAGAAAGAAAGACCTGGCTGGTATGGCTCAGTGGACTGAGTACTGGCCTGCTAATCAGAGGGTTACCGGTTAGATTCCCAGTTGGGGCACATGCCTGGGTTGTGGGCCAGGCCCCCAGTGGGGGGTGTGCAAGAGGCAACCACACACTGATATTTCTCTCTCTCTCTCTCTTTTTCTCCCTTCCTTCCCCTTTCTCTAAAAATAAATAAATAAATAAGTATTTTTAATAGAAAGAAAGCAAGCATGAATTAGAGGGAATCTGCAAGAAGAGGCCAAGACTCAGAGAACCTAGATTCTTCTGGCCTCTCCACTGTTACGCCCAGTGTGCACCGTGCAATTTGCATGGGTTCTCTAAGGCTCTCGCTCCTCATGTATGAAAGGGCGATAACAGCGTTTACCCAGCCTATCTGCTGGGCTTATATTGAAACTCATGAAAAAGCATTTTGTGAAAGGAAAAGTAATATTTAAATGTAATATGTTTATGATTTTTATAGAAGTCTCTACGGGTCTGTAAAAGTATCAAGCCAAAATTTGTATCTATCCTATGGTTTTTTTTTAAAAAGAAATGTGATGCAAAATAATTACTTATACAATCTGTGTATACGGTTCTATTCTGCAACCTAAACAAAAGGGACGGCTTCAGGAGCGATGTTTAGATTACACAGGACGTGCTTGCTACTGTTTAATTAAAAGCAACCATTTCTAAATTGAAAATTTTATGTACAATCCTTTCAGATTTCTGTTTTATACCCGTCCCCTAATCCAGTTTTACCAACTTAAAAACCCTCTTTTAACAATCATCTAAATTCTGTTTTGATAACATCTGGCAGTTTCAGCTTCGCCAACAGCCATCTACACCTAGATGACAGAGATTTGAAACTTTATTTCAAATCCACTCTTTCCTTCCATTTTCTCTTCCATCGCAGCTCTCTCCTGGACTTCAAAGCAGCTTTGTGGTTTGCCTTGCAGAAAATCAATGGCTGGGAGATGAAAAGCAGCTCTTGTCTGTCCCCTGCCTGCTGAAGGTCATTCTCCTCAGTAGCATCTGTGTGAGATCCTAGCCTCTTTTTGCTTGCAGAGAGGAGAAGTAAATCGGTACATATTCAACAGCCACAAGGAGGAGAGCAATGCCCATTTTAAAAGGATAGATCACATCACAGCGTAAACACATTAACAAGAATAAGTAGAGTATTGGAGTATTGGTGTTTGGAATATACATTTAGAGTGTTACTGATTGTGACCCCCCCCCCTTTTTTTGGAATGGCTACATCTAGACTTCTTGTGGCTTGCAAGGCTTTATAGGTAATTGATCACATTCTCTAAAAGGTACCTGAGAAGTTACTTGAATTTAGTAGGCTTTAAGGGTTATGACTATATAAAGGCATTGATAAATGAGTGTGAGGGGGTACCTATTCCTGCAGAAATAGGTAGAAGCATTGGTTTTCTGCTGCATGTGTGGCCACAGTTGCTGGCCTCGCTTACCCAGTTCGTCCATCAGTCTCCTTGTGAAGGGTGATGACACAGCCTAACCCTGCCCTGTCACAGACATCGCTTAGCTCTCAGTGTTCTTTGTAGTCCAAGGCCATTTCTTGAACAGCTTGGAAGAGAGACCTAAAAACACATACACTCCCCAATGCCGTCAAGTCAAAAGTGTGTTTTCCTGGGGTCCCATAGTTTATGGCTTGTGCTTTACTGATAACACTTTGTTCTGCATCTGTGACATAGCCAGTGGGTAATGTCAGGCAGTAAAGTTTTGGTAGATTTGGGGGGGACAGGGGTATTAAAGTCAGGGACCTAAAAATCCCTGCCGATCACCCTCCTCTCCAACAAGCTCCCAAAGGAATTTTACAAACCAAGGATAGGAGCAAATGCAAAACAAGTACCCATCTATGGCTGGGCCAGTGACCACTATTCCCAGTTCAGAGCTTTTGCAAACCTGAGTTCAAGCCGGTAGCTTAGACTCAAGGCTTGTGGCAGAATCTAAATCTTGGAATCCCATTTTCTAGCTTATCACAGGGTATGGGAACTAAAGCAACAAAGCAGTTAGCTTAAGTATGCACATAAAGAGATAAGAACAATAACAACAAAAAAGATGGCCAGGTAACTGAAGGGGCCTTATTTCAGGTTACCAACTGTACCACTTGCAATGAAAATAAGGGAAGAGTTAACCTCTTAAAACACAGCAATCCTGCTGTATTAGCCAAGGTTCTCCAGAGAAATACATATATTTGTGATCTGTTAACAAAATAAACAAGCAAGATTAAAATGGACAATAGATAGATACAGGGAGAGAATTGGTGGCTGCCACAGGGGAGGGGAATTTGGGGCATTGGGTGAAAGGGAAGAAGGGATTAGGAAGCACAAATTGGTAGTTCCAAAATGATCACGGGGAGTGAGTGAAGCAGAGGGAATATAGCCAATAATATTACGACAACATTGTGTGGTGCCAAACGGGGCACTGGAAATATCAGAGTATGTGAGACAATCACATACTCTGTAAAGTATGTGATTGTCTCACCACTGGGCTATACACCCGAAACCAATACATAATAAAAATAAATAAAATAGAGCAAAAATAAGTAAAAATAAAAAATAAAAGTAGCCTAATTAACAACAACAAAAAAACAACACATTATGTAATTCCTTAGAATAAGTTTTGTATCAGGACTTTTAATTTTAAAAACTACCTTAAATATGTCTCTTATTACAAGCACTCATGTCAAAAAAAGCTGGAGTTAAACTTTAGTAGGTTATGTTTTATTTTTATTGCCATCTTTTCTTCTTTCCTAAAGAAAACCTACTGACTGGCCCTATAGGAGCTTTGATCCCCAAGAACACTCTTCTGTGCGTCAAAATGCCTTTCTAACTTTGGAAGAGGAGGGGCCGCACAGCTTGCACCCAAGACCTGCCGGGGGCAGTGGGTGGGGCAGCCTGAGTCACTGCAAACGCCACCTGCGGCACAGCCAGGAGGTGGGCACTTTGGCTCTCTCCTTCCTGACTGTACAATCTAAGAAGGTCATTGGAATCATGCTGGGCCTCAGTTTCCATATCAGTAAAGTAGGCTTAATAATTATGTGTGCTTCACAGGGTTACAGTGAAGATAAATGAGACAGTAGTAGTTTAATAAAGTGCCTGGCACACAGGAAAGACCCAGTACGTGGGGTAGCTAACATCGCTAATAATGTAAGATAGCCCATGCCCATGCAGGTGTGCACTTTTTCTACAATCTCCCACCATTGAAATGCAAGCAATGGTGAAAGTGGGCAAGCAGGGTTTTTGGCTGGTAGAGGTAGCTTCCTTTGTTCATGGTGTCTACAGGCAAAGAATGGGATAGGAAATACAAAGAAGATGGAAAAGCAGCCAGAAATGACCAGGAGGAATTAGAACATGGCCAGGCAGAGGCGAGTCACAGTACAGCTGGTATAGAGAACACTAGCTGGGCTTGCTGGGATGGCAGGGAGACCCTTTCGCTAAAGCCTAATGAGGAGTAGGAGTTTCACTCCAATGGGTAGAACGGGAGGGCACTGCAGGTAGAAGAAAAAGAATCCCCAGCAGCTCAGAGATGAGGGAATGTGGGAGCTCGGGGGAGGTAAAATGGGGAATGCAGGAGGGGAAATCTGCTTGCTTCTGCTACTTCCCAGGCCTGTGCAACAACACAGATGGAGGCGCTGTGTGCAGAGGGAAACCCAGCATCTGGATTCCTGGATTGGGGTCTCAAGCTCAAGTTGGGCACATCCTCCTGATCCCAAGGCACAGCCAGAAGAGGACGAGGGCTGTGTGGGGTACGAACTATCATATGGAGTAAAACCCAGAGCTGAGGCCATTGAGGAATTCTGAACACCAGCATGATCTGCTCAATGGTAAATGTGAGGCATGCCACTCTTACCACACAGAAGAGAGTTGAGTGGAAGAGGAAAGACTTGGGGGCAGGGAGCCCACTAAGGTTTCTATCACTGTGGGGGAGGGGCCTAGAGAAGTGGGGGCTGTGTGGGGAGGTCATGTCTGAACAAGAGAAAGAATAACAGGGATGGAAATGGAAGGACAGAGACAGACATCTGAAGGATGTAGAGTCAATGGGACTTAGTGCTTTTTTTAAATGGCTGTGTGTGAAGGTGAAGGGACATAGAGGAAGACAGAGACGTCTTAGTTGGAGGGGTTTAGAGGAGACTGGGTTTAGCTCTGGACTTGAGCTGCCTGGTAGAAACCAAAATGGAGTTGTTTGGAAGGGAATTGAATGTATAAGCCAAGGGCTGGGTAGCAACGTGGGATGGGCATGCAGGTTTGGATGCTCCAGGTGGCAGATTGCCCTCCTCCCAATGGAGGGTGGCTTCCAGAAAGAAGCTTTTCAAGTGGCCAGGGCCTTCTGGCAGCCGTCTTGACAAGGAGGACAAGGGCCACATGAATGGCAGGGCAGAGACATGGAAGGATGATGCCTCTCAACCCTGACTGTCCATCACTGAGCGTCTTGTGGGAAACAGAAATAAATGTCTCCTTTATTCAACCGCTGTTTGGGTTTGTTCAGTTTTCCTGTAATATTCAGCCAAACCTAAACCTAATCTTAGTACAACCAGTGAACAGGAAGCAAGCAGAACTCATGGCTTTTACTCTAGCAAAGAAAAGCAGCGCAGCTCCACCAGTGTTCCTCATT